GCCCGCCCTTTTCTTTCACCTCACGCCGTGCCGCGGTTGCGGTCGTGGACGTCGGGGGCTTCGCCTGGTGCTTGGCATCAGGGAGTAAGGGGGGTGTGCCTTTTAACGGGGGAGATTACGTCAGGCTATAGTATTTATTCCTCGTCATCTGTCTGCAAAAAAGTCGAAGCTCTGAATGAGAGAAACTTTTTCTGGCTGTTCTTAAATCTTTTAACTCTTTTAGCTGTTCTTCCAACAGCAGTGATCTTAGAAACAGGGTTGTTTCCACGTATGATTTAGAGGATATGACAAGTGAACTGGCAGCTAATAAAAGCAGACTGAGTCCTCTGTAGGTCCTGGTGGTACATGTACGGGTCTCTGCTCAGAGCAGTTGGAATGAATGAGGCCCCAGCCGAGCCAGCAAATTTGCTCTCTTCTTGTTAAGCACAAGCCTTGACTCTACTCAGAAACACCCATCAAACAAGTCATGTACCCATTATGTAAAAGACTTGAGCTTGCAAAAGAAAGCTGTCCTGGGCTTCTATTGCGTAATTTAGTGTGTATCCTTCATTTGACAGAGTATTCCAGAGACCATCTGTGACTGTATTCAAGATAGTTCCACTTAATGAGGTTATGGGAGAGAATTAGCCATGTCAGAAGAAGCTGTTACTGAGGCACGATTTTCTCTGAAGACGGTAGCTTTACGGGTATTTCATCTTCCCCTTTCTTGGTATTATTCTCTTAACCAGGTAATGTATACATTATCTGAATATTGTCACTTTTGATATATGTTTAGAAGTTTAATTGCAATGTTGTACTTGCTCTTCTGAGCTTAATATGAATTAAATTTGTACAGAATATCTTAATTTTTAGTTTATTTAGAACACTGAACTAAAGCGGGTTTTTTTGTCTTTTTCTGCTGATAAACGCTTAGTGCATCATCGTGCATCTGACTGAAGGATTGCTTTATCTGCAATGTCTATATGTCTTCATTTTGCAACAGCACGATGATTCTCATCAGCTCAAATATTAAAATCCTCAAGTTGTCTTTTTTTCTTGTAGATTTTTTTAGGTATTTAAAAACAAAACGTAACTGTCATTAAATTTTGAATAATAGTATTAAGTGTGGTCTGAAATAATTTCTAGATTAATTTGGCAACTGGTACTGGCAATCTGAATGATAATTAATGCAAATCAAGAATCTGTTGTTCTAGTTTTCCAGTCACTTCTGTTTGATTAAATAAGTGGCATGTGACTAAAACAAGGCAGTGATTCTTTAAAAACAGGCAGTTTTTTAAACCTGCTCAGTTCTTTTTGCTGGTTTTGTTTGTGTGTTTTACTTACAGAAAGATCTTCAAAGAAAACCTTAAGGCTTTATTAATCACAGTATTTCCTTTTATAGATGGCCCTGGAGTGATTTATTTTTATTTCCTTTCATTGTTATAGGCTAGTTTTCACTATATAAATAGCAATATGGATAGCAGTCACTCAAATCAGGGCAAAGAGTACATTATGATCTTAGTTTTCAGGTTGACAAAAGCTGGAAGTGTTGTGAAGCTGATACTCCTTGTCTGCAGGGAATCATAAGATTTGTCCCTAGAGTACCTTCAAGTCAAAGACAGGGAGGCGAGGTGTAAGTGTGTTAGCAATTCAGAGAAGAGAGGTGTTAGTTGCCTATAACTACATATGTGATAAATGATAGAGCGACATAAGTCAGAATTACCTGAGAAAATATTAAGGTTTTGGTGGTATCCCTTAGAGAATAAATTTCTTGAAGAGTGAGCCATATTCTGATGCCATAATACACAGGGGGAAAAAAAATGGTTTCTAGTTGGCTGTACAAAATATGGTCCAGCAGTTTTTACCATTCTGTGTATGCTGAATCATTGACAAGGATAACTAAAAGAAAAAAAAATGTTTATAATTAGGAATGCCAATAATATTCTTTTAAAAAATACATATTAGCAGGTCCTAATAAAGTTCTGCTTTTAAAACCCATGTCTTTAATATGACTGTATTTTATTTTTATTCAATTAGATGCTTGTCAGTAAAAGCTATGTCATTTTTCATATTTGTGTGAAAATGCTTTTCAAAGTTTTACTGCATATATTCTCAGTCTTAGCTGCATCTGATTACTTTCACATTTTTTCTGTATTTACAATACTTGAAAATTCTCACTGCAAGATCACCGATTACTTTTTTACATTGCAGCATATTCATATCCTTTTTAAATACCATGTGCAACTCCATTATGTACAATTATTAACTTTCCCCTCCTTAGAGGCTTTCATTTCACTGTTGAATTATTTATGATCATGCTTGTAGGCACAGACAAATTTAAAAAAATCCACTTACAGTTCTTTGAAGCTTTAGTTCTAGCATTTAATTCTGTGAGCTTCAATGTTTTAATCTCGGTTATTTGGTTATGAACACTTTTCTGTTAAATACAACAGTCTTATGCAAGTATGTGTTTGTGCTGTGTTTCAGGGATCTCCTTTTTCTTGCAGAGTACAGTGCTAGGTTTTCGGCCTCAGTCAAGATACAGTACCACTAAGGACAGGGTTCTCAAGTCAAAGGTGTTTGACTTGTTGATTGCAAACTCACTGCAGAGCAAAGCTTTCAATGCTTCTTTAAATTACACAACTCGGGTAGTATTAACCAATTGCACAGCAACCAGGGACTGCCAGAGTGCAGTGGTAGTCTGTGTGGCCAATTCTCTCTCATATGAGGAAACATATTACAGAAACACCATATTAGCCCCAAGGACTGCAGATCTGGTTTTCTCCCAGCAGTCTGTTTCTCAAGCAGCATAGGTCTCCTAAAGATTTTGTGAATGTGGACCCTAGTTTCCCTTTAAATGGGTCTTTTCTTCCTTGTATATCTTGTCACTTTGGATTTTATAAACTTTGTTAATGGCTTTTAATTCCAGCTGCTTGTATATATGGTTCTTATTTGCTAATTTAAACATTTGTAAACCTATGACTGATCTATATCCAAAATAAAACATAACAATTAAAAAACCCCCTGGTTTATTTACAGAAATATGTTTAAATACATGGTCTTCCCAAATTGAAACACCATGCAAATGTTAGCTTTTGGATTCTCCACTCTTTTACAGTGCAAGAAAATAGTCTAGTTGTAAAGGGTGAGTTTCTTCTCAGTATTTTTTTGCTATTAGAGAATTAATTGAAACCCTGCATTGTCCTGGCATTAAAAAGAAATAATAATAAAAAAAAGTAGTTTGTCTGGAAGTCATTTACTTAGATCCCCATAGTTTGTGGATTTGCAATATACCTTATAGTTCTTGGTGCTGCAATATTTGTCTCAGTGCAGCCACTCGCTTTATCGCACCAGTCCCTTTGTAAACTCTCTCACCTACTGGCCATTGCAAATTTTGAGAAATAGTTAGTCTATGTCCTTACTCAGAGCTGGTTGTTTCTGAGGCTATGTGAGAGCAGCATCTCTTGTCTCCCTCAGACAAGCTATAGCCTAGGTTGAACACACCAAAAGGAGGGTAGGAGGAAAGGTGGGAGTTAAGGAGCATATATTTCCAAAGAAGTCACGCTCTTTTATTTTCAGATAAAGCTTTCCCCTGGGTTAAAGAAGCTGTTCACAGTAACAGCAGTGAGTGCAATATCTGTTATTTTTCTGGCCCATCATTTTAAAAGAAGACGTGGAAAGAAAAACAAGAAAGTGCCACCATGGGAACCAAGTCATCTAGTATTAGAGTGTACCAAAGCAGCTGCATCAGAAAAAGGTACATGAAGGAACCCCCAAGTTTTTTTTGTTTTCTTGGAGGGGAAGAAAAGGGGTGTGAGGGGGTGGGTGTGCGTAACAGTGTGTAGTAGTAAAACTATTTTCCTTTAATGCTGAGTAGGTTTGAATTGTTAAAGTAGAAATTGTGCAAATTAGGAACATAATTACAATGTTTTATAAATAAGCTGGTCTTGTTCTCAAAGCTGAAGTTTTAATCATGAATTTGGATTAAATTTTTTTTTTATCAGTAGAATATTAACAATGGGGTTTGCAGTTCTTGTGGACATGTCTCAATACTGAGAAAAGCAGATTTAAATTTTTATAGGATGGGAAAATAATTCTCAAATGCATGTTTATTGTTATAGATATTGACTGTTCTAATTTGCAGTTTCTCATATAGAACTGAAGATAAAAGAATAATTGTTGTTTGCTTCTAAACTGAATGTTATTTAAAAGAGTAAATGCAATTCTTGATAGATCTTGCTAACAGAAGATACACTGATTTTTAAAGCTGCTGCAAACTCAAAACATTATATCTTTTAGGTTCTAGTTGTTCCAGTAGTCGGCAAAACTTGACTCTTTCTCTGAGCTCTGCCAAGGAAAAGGGATCTCAGCCTTGTATCTATGCAAATGGAGGACTTTTCAGTAAATACTCCGGTTCAGTTCAGAGTCTGGCCTCGGTAAGTGAAAGTGTTTTAAGGCTCTTGAATGTCTGTTAACTTGCACTGCATATGCACCTAATGGTTTCACTGAGCTGGAACAACTTCCCTGAACAAGTTGCACAGATGGTTAGAGATGCTAAGAAGGCTATGTAGTACTTACTACATAGTAAAAATAGTTTCTAGATAGATAACTTGGATGTAATGTACTCTGGCAGGAATGTAGTTTTAAGGATACTCTATATAACAACACTTAAAAAATTGTTTATTTTTTTTTAAGGTTCAGAGTGCCACCTCTTGTCACAGTTGTGCTTGTGCCAATTCTAATTCCTGGGATAAAGCAGATGAAGATGATATTAAACTTGTCAATATTCCAGTGACCACACCTGAAAATTTATATTTGATGGGTAGGTCATGATAAGAATATTCAGCATCTACCAACAATGAATGTAAATAATTTCTTGGTTTTGGGGCAAAGTGACACTTGCACAATATTATTGTGGTGTTCTTTCACAGTGGGCACATGTCTAAGAATATTTCCATAAAATAATGAAATCTTACTTGATCTGGAGTTAGTTTTTTAAAATACATAATTTTTTATTCCTATATTTGTAGTAGTAAGCCATGGAATTATTTTAGAAAGTAAATAGGAAAAATACACTGAGCATTGTTGCTTTAATCGTATTACGAACTTCTTTATCTTATTAAAAAGGCAGATTTTTTTTTTTTTTAGACTGGGAATTGCTATTGTTTTAAAAACTTGCATCTCTGCTATAATCGTACTTATTAGCTGCATAGTTTCCTATGACTCTAAAATGTGAATACATATGGAAACTGTGAACTGGGTGGAATGGAGGTATTCCTGATCTCCCCTAGGTATGGAGCTTTTCGAAGAAGCACTGCGTCGATGGGAGCAGGCGCTAACTTTCCGTAACAGGCAAGTTGAAGATGAAGCAAGTTGTGGTTCCATTAAGCTGGGAGCAGGAGATGCAATTGCAGAAGAAAGTGTAGAAGTGAGTATATTCAATCTGTAATCTGCTGTTGGTGCCCTAACAATTCATTGTGTTTTGTTACCTTAATCTTTTCAATTTCTAATTCAATTACCAAAACTGAGAATTAATTCAAAGTTCCAGTTTTAAAGGGCATCTAACTTTGTTCCTTTTGATTTTTTTGTTGTTGTTGTTGTTGGTTGTTTAGAGGAGGGTGGAGGAGGGAGAATTAGGTTTGTTTATTTTTTTGGCAATTGCTGTTGCATCAGTGTTTGCTTCTGGATGGTATTATCAAGCTACCAAGCATTCTAGTTCCCTGCACAAAATCTCTTGGGTCATCCCTTTCTTTTATTACTACGTGAGAGGATATCTGCTTAGCAAAGATAAAGATCTGGGGAAAGATGATGAATTTATGAATATTCACAAATAATGTGCTTGAACTTTATTAATATTCCTTTGTTCTTATGAAATAAATGCTAATAATATTTTGAAATAAACATACACCTGTATGGCTTTCATTATTTCTAGTGTAGTAAACATCACAGATAACTTTAAAGTATTTTAAAACTTAGATTTTATTTTTATTATAGTAAATAAACTATGTCTATGTTTAGAAAAGTGTATATATTTTGGATGTTGAAATATTCATCTGACAGTGTCCTTGTGTGGTTTGTAGGAAATTTATGTGGCACAGTGAGTTCTTTGAAGGCTTAATATTCTTAGATTTTACAAAGGAATCTTACAGACTGTAAACAAATAGAAAATCTTCTGATGTCTTTCTTCTTGCAGGATATCATTAGTGCTGAATTCATTCATAAGCTTGAATCCCTTCTTCAAAGAGCTTATCGTCTTCAGGAGGAGTTTGAGGCCACCCTTGGGGCCTCTGATCCTGCTTCTCTAGCTAATGATATTGGTGAGTACTCCTATTTTACATTTTTATTGCTTATAATAATGACTCTTGTGCGGGGAAGTCACTGAAATATCAACTGAGCAGAATTATATTTATCAGTAAATAAGCAGAAAAAAATTCAAGTTCTTTACATTATTATGTAATGTTTGATGTAGTGCTTGTATTTTAGGTAAGAATGGACTGAGAGGAATTTTTTTTTCCTTGTGGCTTGTCAGTATACTTCAGAATTTTCATAATACTTTTCTCTGCTTTCTAAAGTTTATGTTAACTTGGGTATTTAAATATTTATGCAGTAAGAATATATGACCCTTTTTATAGCATGGGTGTATTAGAGCATTTCAAAAGAAGTTTTATATGTCTTTTGAACGGTCAAATTGTGTATGCATGTACTGTGGGTTTTTTGCCTGCCATAATTGAAAAAAAATTCACAATAAAACAAAACCAAACCAGAAGGACTTAGCCTGAAACAGGTGTCCGTTACCAAAGCTCTTATCCCTGGTGATTGAAATTTATCACAGTTATGACTGACTAAAACGAGGATGTTATAATGGCAAATATAAGAGTCGTTGCTGCCAGACATGTTGATTAAATACAGATAGTTTGATTATTTTTCTTTAAAGAATTGGTTTAAGATGTTCTTAAAGACTGATACTATCATGCTTTTTCATAATTTAAGATCAAGCATTTGGTCTCAAATAACTGTCACATTTTAAATGCAGAACATGTTCTGGGATTAGTATTAGTCTGTAGTCTTGTTTGTTAGGCTTCAGCTTGACTGGCACGAGGTGGCAGTACTCTCATCTCTTGTGTTACCCTGCAACTACTAAATACAGCTCTGAGTAAGGCGGGAAGTAAATTTAGGTCAGAGTTGGCTTTCTGACATATCTGCATACACCTGTTAATGTAATTCTTAAAGCAGAAAAGCATTTGGATGTTTTATCTTGGTGTCTGAAACCATAAGCCCTAAATAAAGTGGCAGTGTATATCCATTATTAAATTAGAAGTTTATTTGTAATTTCTGTCTTCAGGCAAAATTAATAAAACGGTATTCAAAGGACTCAGTGTGATGTTTAATGTGTTTAGTTATTGTTTTGCTTAGTTACCCTGGAAGTATTTTAAATTGATATTTTATTTTTTAGATGTGATGACTTGATTCTTGTTTACCAAGAATGTTCTGAAAATTGAATTCCTTTCAAATGTCCTTTGTAGAAATCATTTGTGATCTCTTGAGTAAATATCTGTTACTTTATTATGAATTTTATTTGTGCTGACCCAGATGAGTGAGGAAAACAAGTAATGAAGTAGTTTAGTGAGTAGTGTTTTCACTGTTCAGGATTTGGGGCTTTTTCAACATTATCTTGAATTTGTGGCTTGAACAGCAAGTAATATATTAGAAAATGCTTCACTTTTTCAGAATGCTGTTTTAGAATATAAACAGAACAACAACATCTCAAACACTGTGGCCCTTGGAAGATTTAATATAGAGGATGGTTTTGTTCAATATTTGATCTAAAAACATTTAATTCTCAAAATTTCTTAGATCATTTATTTTCCTGTAGGATATGACACTGAGTGTAGTGTATAAATGTTTGAAATAGGATGTTTTTGAGATTGACATTTTTTGGTAACTTCTGCGGGGAGAGACAGAAAAGTATGTTTGGGAGAATCCTAGAGGTTCTCTTACAGGTTTGGTTTTTTCCTTTGTTTTTTTCCCTTTTTTTTTTGTATTTGGTAATCTAGTGAAAGAGAAGGAAAGCTGCTGTCAACAAACTTTCCTTTACCTACCCCAAAATGTGCATGTTAACATGTAATACTTACTTTGTTTCATTTCTGTTCAAACTTCGTATTACTTCTTTAGGAAGTGTGCTAGTATAAACATTGATCACTTTTTTCCTTTTTGTGTGTGTGTGTCTGCGTGCGCATGTGCCTATATTAAGAACAACAGGAATGGAAGGGTTCAAGACCAACAACAATAGGCAAGTCCAAGAAAGTCATTAAATCCCAGTGGCCGAAAGAAAGAAGGATAGTATAGCATTATTTACACTACTAAGAATAAGAATAATATCCTACTCCAAAAAAAGAAACAGAAATAAAGGTGCTTTTGCTCTGTACTTGAAATGCATCTGGAATGTGTATACATCTTTGACACTGATAGGAATGTGTATCGTTTGTGGTGAAAGAGGCAGTATCTGATAAATCTGAATCAGTAGTCCTGGATGATTTATACCCAAAACTTCTTAAAGAAGCTAGATAAAGAAAGCACACTAATCCATATTTTGCTATTCACTAATCTTGGAAAGTGAAAAATATTCCAAATGATTGGGAAATGTTTAGTTCCAAATCTTAAACAAACAAACAAACAACCCCAAAACTCCAACACCCAAGTTAAGAGTCATGCCTGTAAAATAATTGAGTTGCTAATTTGCAGTTCTATTACCACAGACAACATAATAAAAGGTGTAATTAGTGCCAGTTTGTATGGTTTCATGGTAGCTAGCTTTTCTTGGACTGTAGGTTTTTGAGAGATCTGCAGTTGGGGGATTGATACAGCATACATTAGATGATAATAATGAGCTCACTGACATGAACGTTTGTTTATACTTCTGTCCGCTGTTAAGGGAAAGGTTTGCTCTCTAGGGAAGTTGTTTGGTCAAATGCTGTAATTTTATCAACTATGTAGTTGATGATAAAATGATTCGTAGAGCTGGAAGTTGATAAAAAATGGTCATTTAGGGCATTAAAAGCATTGAATTAATGAAAAGGAAAGATTAGTAATACTGATCTGAATTATCTGTTTAAATGGTTACAATGTAACAAATTACATTTGAATCCAGGCAAGTATGGATTGTACATATAGATGGGAGATTTTAAAAGAAAAATAATAAAGAAACTCTTGGCATGCATTAGGAAAATTATGCATCACAGTCAGTGTAAGTTCTCAGCACAGTGCTGTAGAAAATAAGACCATCGCTAATCTCTGGCTATGTGAAAAGGACAGCATCAGCATAGAGGCAGAGATATGATCTTGGGTTTGTATGGTTTTAGTATACTGTGTCCAGTTCTGTTGTTCATATTTCAGAAGATATGGAAATACTAGACAGTTCAAAACAAGCCATAAAAATGATCCATGTTTTGGAAAAACAAGCTAATATGTGGCTTCAGTTGCATATGTCCAGCTCCTTAATGAAGAAAATACTGAGAGGTGACTTACTTGTTCTGAATAGCTACTTACACATGAAGAAGGTATGTGGTGCTGGGGGATTTGTAGACCTTGTTATCGAAGTCATAACTAGATCCCATTTCTGGTTGTTCAAGTGAAACCAGTTAAGTTCTGAAGTTGCCTCTAAAGCATGTTGAGGGTATTTCAGTGTTTTAGACAAAAAATTGTTTGTTTTGGTTTTTTTAGTGCTGTTTTGAGGGATGTTTTTATTCCTCTTTGAGAGGAAGGGATGGACTTAGGGGTAAATGGTCATTGTGGTCTTTCTGGCATTCAAGTGTTTCCCCTTACTACCACGATTTTTTCTTCTTTCATGAGCCTTGGAGTGAACACGAAAAAGCCTTCGTTGTCCTTAATAGGTTCCTAACACTTGCAGCTTGTCGTTAGAATGCTTATAACCAGATCTTATGCTTCCGAGTTTCAACTGTTGACCCACAACTGTAATCAGAAAATGTTTTGCTTTGTTTTTTCTCTGATACACATCATGGTTAGATATAGTTTGTGGATTTTTCTTCCATTTTCTCTGTCTGAAGCACGTGTGATTAGCCACAGCTGGAGACAGGGCTCTGACAGTTGGACAAATGCTATCAAGCGTTATCAAAAGACTTGCTACATAAATATCTGACTAGCACTTCTTATTCAGAAACCCTGGGTTATAATGAGCTCCAAATTTGGTCAGGAAGGAAACTTACAAAGGTAAAAGTTTCCATCAGTTTCTGGTTTTCAGCTGTCTCTGTCAAACTTATGGGGCTCCTGAAACCACTCTCTACCCTACTTGTCTACTAGTCACAGATGTTGCTCCTTCCCAGAATTCTTAAATGATATTCTTCCCAGGTCATCATTTCCCTCTACCTAATGAAATTAAGATCTTCTTGCTGCCATTGATCGATCATACCACAGACTTGCTTTTCATTTTGTGATCCCACTTACTAGTTGAAGTTGCTTGGCATGATAAACAATTTGCCAACCAGCTTTGGGAAACAGCTTTCTGGAGGAGACTATGGTAACATGCTACACGGGATACTCAGGAATGAGTTACCCGAGACCCTGCTGGAATACAATAGCTTGTCACTGCAACCACTGTCTCTCTTGATGTGGCCTGAAGTGCTTCTCTTCCGTTTGCCATGACAGGTAAAAGGTGACTTGTCAGAGCAGGCAATCATCACTTGAAGTGGTTGCATGCTGTAGTCTAATTGCCTTCTGTTTGGTTCTTGTTGTGTAAATTAGCATCTATAAATGTTGGGGTGTTTTTTCCTAGTTATATGTAAATTATATATTTTCTCTTCCAGATATTTCTAAATATTCAACTTTTAGCAGTGCAGCAGATACAGGTGTAAATACCTTTTCTCCCAGTGGGTAAAATTCTATGAATAGTAACAATAATAATAATAATTGCAAATAATCATTTTCAACTCTGTAAGCTATTGTTGAGTTATAAACAACGAATACAGCCCTGGAAGAGACTTGCATTTTAAATAGAAGAAATAATGGAATGCAGTTATGTTCATTGTTGTTACATTCTCTGCTGGACTTTCAGAATTATCATATAAACCAGCAAGCTAAAATAGGATTTCTATCGCAGATATATTTCTGGACATGAAGTTAAAACAAATATGTTGGGCTAAACTGCTGTTATTTTTATGCTGATCCTGTTAGGACTGTGGAACAACATGAGAAGCCTAGAAACAGGCTTTCCTGAGGCAGGCATAAGCTGCACTGAATCAGGAAGGAGGCAATTGGCAGAAAACTGTGAAACAAAATATTCATCATGTTATTTCTGAGCGGT